CAAAATACATTGTACCAGATCTTAAGCCACCGAAGTTGTTTATAAGTAGTTGGCAAATGTCCACACAGAGTTTTATCTCAGCAAGGAGAATTTACAACCACCAAATCCAGCCAATGAAAATGCAGGTGATGAATATACACAAGTCCACCTCATGACCTTGTGGAAAATGTACCGGGGTGCTACCCAGTCCTCAAGGAGGCTCAGCCCAGACCAGGCCTTCTCCCCAGAAGCAACCTCGCAGTAAGAAAGCAAACAGTGCAATTTATTAAATGCAGATTCTACAACTTCTGTCAATTTTGCCTAAATCAATTCTATATGCAAAGAGAAAAACTATCCTTCTGAATCGACCTTCCACTGAATTTGTGTTCTCCCCTCACCTATATCTTTGTCCATAACATACAGCATTTTTTCTTCAGCTGTAGAAAATGTTGCTTTACTCTGCCATTTAAAAATATCAGTGCCCTTAGAACCTTCATGCACTGCTGCTAGGAATGGACACGAACAGCCACTTTGGGAAGCAGTTTGGCAGTTCCTCAAAATGTTAAACACAGAGTTACCATATAACACAGCAATTCCACCCAACAGAAATGAACACGCATATCCACATAGAAACATATTTACAAAGGTTCACAGCAGCATTATTCAAAATAGCCAAATAGCGGAAACAACCCAATGTCCATCAGCTGATGAATGGATAAATAGAACGCGGCCCATCACACAATGGACAACTATTCAGCAATGAAAAGGAAGTCCTGACGTGTGCAACAAGTTGCATGAACCTTGAAAACATTATGCCAAGTGAAAGAGATCAGTCACAGAAGACCACATAGTGTATGATTCCACGTATATGAAACGTCCAGAACAGACAAACTGATACAGAAAGTCAGTTAGAGTTTGCCTGAGGCTGGGAAGTTGGGAGGGGGAGTGAGGAGTGGGTATGGGGTTTCTTTTTGGGGTGATGACAATGTCCTAACATTGATTGTGGTGGTGGTTGCATATGGTAAAAACCATTGACTTGCACATTTTAAATTAGTAAATTTTATGATATGTGAATTATATCTCAACAAAACTATTTTTTGTTTTAAGGATAAATGCCGAGAAAGCAGCTCTCCATTCTAGACCTGCAGCCGCACCCTCACCTCAATCCCCGCCCCGCCCCTCCCTCTGTGGAGCTGCCACTGGGCCGGCTTGTGCACAGTCCCTGACAGGCTCTTTTGGGGGCTTCATGCATCCCCCTCGGCTGTCAGCCCAGTCCCTCATTGTTGGAAGCCCACCTTCAACCTGGCCGCCAGCCTTCCCACTCCAAGCCTCTCCCTCCCATTTCTCTGTATGTCGTCTACCTTTGTTAAAGTGTGAGCCAAACGGGCTGGGTCTCATTTGTGCCTTCCCCAGGTAAAGATCTCTTTGGTGATGGTGATGATGATGATGATGAAGATGATGATGATAGCTAATACAAATCATTAACTATATGCTAAGCACTGTTCTTAGTACTATTAAGTATTAAAAATTTTCAACTATTATTGTTAACTATTCATAAATTCTATTTTAATTCATTTAATCCTCGGAACAATTCTATGAGGCAGGTACTCTTATAAGCTGCATTTTACAGATGACGATTCTGAGAGGCACAGAGAGGTTGTCATTTTTCAGGGTCACACAGCCATCTTGAAGCAGAGCCTGGATTGGAATCCAGACAGAATGGCCCCAGAGCCTTAGTGGTCTATGCTGTTAAACATGACACTGCATTGCCTTGTCTCCTTTTCAGTTTCCTTATTGAAAGTCCTCATAGGCCAGGCAGGTAACAAAAATGAGTGGAGGGCTGAGTGTGGGCAATAGGGAGTGGTGGGGACTGCGGTGAGCTGACAAAGGCATAGCCCTCTAAAGAGGCAGCTTCCATTCTGGCCCAGCTGAACTGACTGTGATCATGCAGAAATGTGGGCCCAGTATTGCTGGATCTTCCTTTTTTCTTTTTTAAAGAAAAGTGGCAACTTAAATTTTCATTTGAAATCTTTTGATTTTTAAATGTTGACCGCTAATTCAAAGGTTTTTAAAAAATAAACTGTGTGGGCCACCACCATGTGGACCAAACCAAGCAGGTCAGCAGTTTAATTAAATCAGAAGCCACAAGCTGGGGGCCAGGCAGGCCAAATTCAGAATGGGTGAATGCATGAATGAATGAAGTGATGACAAGTTGAGCATTAAAAGCAGTCTTCAACAGACAAGATTTGACGATTCGTGGACCACTTCTTCATTCCCTTCCAACAATCTCAAAATTCCTTAGAAAACCATCCTGGGCTTTAGGTTTTCCATAAGGAGCCACAAACGGAAAGAGTGAGGTTGAGGGGCTGAGAGGCGAGTGGAACGAGGCAGTGGCAAAGCTGAGTCAGATGCCCCATCTCCCAGACACAGTGACAAGTGGATGGTGGAGCTGAAGGAGGCGCTGACCAGGAGGTGCCCTCTGGGTGGGGCAGGTAGGAAAACCGGGTGAGGTCGGGCACAGAAGCTGCCAAGCAGCCGGGGCAGGCGCAGAGCGGCAGCACTGGAGGGGCATCTGCTTCTGTCCACAGGCTGAGCTCACGAGCAGCCAGAGAAAGAAATGGAGCAGCGCTGGGGGTGTCCTGTGCATACGGGGGTGAGGGCCTCACACTGAGCCAGAGGAAGAGCAGGAGCCAGAGGCAGGGCCGCTCAGCACTGAGGGAGATGCCCCAACGGGACTCGCAGGTAAGGAAACGCTGTGACAGGAATGAAACTGAGAGTGGCAAGCTTGGAGACCACAGTGAACCTGGACATCACGAATGAGGCAGCACTTCTGATGCGTCGGAGCAAAGGCTGGGAGCAAGTCCACCCTCGTAGGGAGGAATATTTTCCCACTGATAATATTTAGACTTGTAGTAGGACTTCTAGTAGGTTTTGCTGCCTTTTTAAAATTTTCTACAGACAATGAACTCCTGTTAATGCTTGCATGTGGGCCAGACCACTCCCACCACCCACTTCTTGGTGTGCCACTGATGGGGGTCCTGGGAGGCTGCCCGGGCCTCCTTCCCAGGCCCCGGTCTGTCCTGGGGAGGGAAGGCAGCCTGGACATGGTCGCCTGGCGTACGTCAGCCCTGCAGTATCCATTCATGACAAAATCCTCTGGGAGACGATCACCTCTGCCAGGTGACAGCTCGCATCAGCTCGATTGCTCATGGAATCCACACCATCACTCCAGAAAAGTCTAAGTGCAGAGCCAGAGGAAGCCAGGCGGAGTGCTGACAAGTGGGTGTGTAAATCAAGGACAGTCTGCTGCCGCAGGTCTGCAGCGGATGCTGTCAACTCTTCTTCCCCGGCTGTTGCACGCACCGCGCGCTCTAGAGTGCTGTGGCTGATGACTCTCACCTTGACCTTCTCCAGGAAGGTGCCCTTGGCTGGGTGACTGGGCCCCCATCCCTATTCTTCACTCCGTTATGGGTTATGCCTTAATGAATCATGTGCAATGTGTCCTTGTTTCTGCTTCTAAGGGACCTGAACTAAGACACTACTGCTATATTTAAATGTTTGCAGTTACTGTCCATTTTTGAAGGGTCCCAGGCCCTCTCCTGTCTCGTGCCTGGCTCACCACAGTGGCCCTGGCCACGCCCCCTCCGATTCTCTGCACAGGCCGCCAGAGCTGGATCTGACTGCGCCATTTCTCTGCTTAAATCTTTCAGTGATGGCCTCAGGGTAAAATCTACCATTCCAGCAAAGCCTATGAGGCCTTCTGGCTCAGTCTTCTCCCTATTTCCCCTGCCATAGCTCCTGTGACCCACATCCAGTCACAGGAATGTTCTAGACAGGCCTGGACGTGTTGTGCCATTTCACATTTCACATGTATCTCCATGCCTGAAATGCCACTGTCACCTTCCATCCCATGGTGTCCTCTTAGGATAACCAGATGTCACCCCCAAATGGGTGAGGACTTTCCCCATCTCTCCAGGCAGTTTCGTGCTCCCTCTTCGGGGCCTACATGGGACCCTGTGCGCCTCTATTACAGCACTTAGCAATTGGTGTAATTAATTGATGACGTGGTTCCATCACAATTACACTCGAAGACCTTCAGAATCAGAATCTTTGTCTATTCGTGTCTATTCTTTTCACCGTGGGTGATATTCAAAATATCCATCCACTGGGACTTCCCAAGCACTGCTCAATTAGAATGGATGGAAGGCTGGAGCCAGGTCCTGCGGGGCAAACTGCTAGGTATTAACAACTTAGTCACTGAGTCACTGGGAGACGAGGGGAAGGCGGAGAGGGGCCAGGCAGCTGGGATGCAGGGATGAAGGACTCAGGATGGGATCTATTTCCCAACAAGCACAAAAGCATTTTAGGATTTTAATGATTGGCATGGCCATTATATATCAACATCTAGCAGCTCAATATCCATCTTCTTTGTAACCCTAGGGGCAACAGCACTATGCCTGGTAGTAGGTATTTAACAACTATTTACTGAAAAAACAAGACATATCTTAAATTACAATTGGAATTATTAACTATTTTCCCGACAAGAAGGAAGAGGGAAGCTGAGATTTGGCTTCCACAGTGACTTTCTCCTGTCTTCGCCTTCCCCGTATCCACTCCCCCTGTTGCCAGGAGCATCCGGGGCTTCTGGCAGCTGCCTCGCCCCCATGACGGGGAGCCTGTTGAGGAGGAACTGTGTGTTGCACAGGCCAGCAAAACCAAGACACGGGGAGAGGCAGACTCTGCAACCCGACTCAAACCCCGAGACCCGGCCACGCCTGAAGACCCATCTTGCACCCTTCCAATGAAAGGGCCTAATAAAGTCCCTTTCTTGTTTATGATATTTTGACTTGGTTTTTTGTCCCTTTGCAACCACAGTCTTGCAAGTCCACCTTGCAAGTCCAGGCTAATTCAGCTAGAAGGATAGCTTTCTATTAGGAAAAATACAAACCTAAGTTTTTTCATACGTATCTCTTAACTTCTCACATCCTGTGACATTTTGATAGTTCATTTTGGTAACTCACCTTTCACCAAGGAGAACATTTGATAGATTTATAAATGAGGGAAAGTCCAGCGTGTTCGTGACAGGATAGGCATGGATGGGAACAAGCAAAGTCTCGTCTCCCTAAAATTAATGGGAGAAAAGTCAAGTTTACTATATTGAAGACTATAATGTTCAAAGATGAACTTGTAGATGCTTTATTTCTTGTTTTCTACCATTAAAAACACTTCCTTAAGAAACCTGAGTGCTTAAGTACAACATTAGAAATACTGAGTTTTCTTAGCTATAAACAAAGTGTAGGAAACACACTTAAGCACATTTCATTCATTTTTATCCAGGAAAGCTAAAGATAATGATGCTCTCATGTAGATACAAAGACAGAAATCTATCTGCTCCTATTTCAGGAAATTATATGGAAACACAGTCTTCAGTGGCCCAAGAGAGAGAAACCAGCACAGAGTCAGCTGAGCCCGACAGCGCCGCACAGTAAACAATGAACTGGGCAGAGGGTGCGGAGCCTGCTCCTGGTCCCACGTAATGTGTGACCTGGCTCAAGATCTTTAACCTCCCCAGGCCTCGTTTCTTCCTTTGCAAAATGGGGATAATTCTGCCTTTCCTTATAGGCTCTGTAAGAACCAAGAAGATGACGGCCTTGGAAAGTGATAAGTCCTTCATGAAGGCCGGGAATCATCAGCATCCTCTGCAGTGGCGGGAGCCGGGCCCCGGCCCTCTGTGCCGTCCTGTCCCAGGATCATCAGCATCCTCTTCAGTGGCGGGAGCCGGGCCCCGGCCCTCTGTGCCGTCCTGTCCCAGGATCATCAGCATCCTCTTCAGTGGCGGGAGCGGGGCCCCGGCCCTCTGTGCCGTCCTGTCCCAGGATCTTTCTTCTTGGTACAGAATATTCCTCCTGAAAGCAGTACTCCACTTTCATTTTTAGCTTTTGTGTTTGGTTTTTTTTACTTGTGTTTGTTACTAAAACATACTCTTCCATTTTAGTTTTGAAAAATTAAATTTAGTTAACCTTAAGGCTTCTCAATTTGCAAGAGTTGGGCCTGGAATACAGAGCAAAGGGAAGGGTGGAGGCGACAGTGTTAAGAGAAGGACTGACAGCACGTGGAGCTGGCTCTGGCTGGAGGCCCAGGGGTGGACTAGGTGACCCAGGAAAGGCTCACAGGAACTCGCACAGCACAGCCGTCTGGGGGCAGGCCCCACAGGCTGCCACCTCCCTGCAGACCCCCGGGCTGCCCCTGGGGAATCCCCGCACAAGACACCGTCCAGTCTCCGAGGTTTATAATCACCACTCGAGGCTCTTGCTAATTTTCTAACCTCGCACTTAAAGGAGTGTGTTTAATTTATTTGAAAAAGCCTTCGTCGTCTCCCGGCACCACACAACAAATGAGGTCTCAGGCCAGGGCCGGCGGAAAACCCGCAGCAAGCAGGGTCTCGTGGCTCTGCCCTGTCCTCAGTGGCCTAATGCTTTCCCAACTGGGACCCACGCCGCTGGACAAGGACCCTCCATGCCACTCAGATGGCTGCCCGAGGCATCCCAGTCCCTGGGCTGAGGATTCACGCTTGTCACTCCGTCTCTCTGTCTTCCTCCCTGGGGGATGTAAGATTTGACCCCATCCCCTCCCCCTAAAAGCAATTTGAAGAAGCTTACCTTACAGTGAACACGGATGCAATCATAATAGTATCGCCACTCGTCTGGAGAAAACGTAACGGTGACCGTGAGGGACAAGCCAGGGACAAGGCGGTGTTCCTAGAAGACAAGCGGGCTGTTGTCCGGACAAGCCCCAGAGCACACAGAGCACGGGACTGCGGTGACAACACACCACACAGCCGCCCCAGCAGACCCGGGACAGAGAGCCTCGACCCAACAGGGAACACGGGGCAGGAACTGGCACCCGCTGCCTACCTTTTTCACATACTTGATCTGAAAGTATTTGGTTTGTGGGGGTAAGATATGAACATCTATGTCTTCATTCGAGACGTTGACCAGATGCTGGGAGAGAAAAAGAAGCATTCAGAAAAATACACACTGTCTCACCCATTTGCATATTCATCTCCTCATTTATTTACAGCTCATCTTGTTCCAAAAGGGATTTGAGGGGATAGAATGCACTTCTTAACTTTTTAAAAGATTCAAAATCCATCCTACACCATTTAAAGAATAATAAACACAACAATCACCATATAAAGAATAATACGCCATGTGCCCTGTGCCCGGCTTAGGGGCTTCAGCAAAGCCTGCACCCCAGGGTCGCCCCAGCACGCACTGTCCCCTCACACCAGCTCCTCCCAGTCCTGACCAGCTACCCTATGAGGCTCTCGGTTGAACTCACTTAGTCCTGTGATTCAACTGAGCTAGGAAGCCAGCCACCCACCAACCCCAATAGTTTCTCTGATTAATGCCACTGGTCCTGGAGACTGGCGACACTTAGGCAGTGAAAATATCAGGAAAAGAGTGTGGCCGGGACAGCCTCCAATTCATCCAGGGACAGACTAAAAGGACTGGAGGCCAGGAGTTCTCTGACGGTGGCAGCAAGGGCCGTCCCTGTGAGGCAGGACAACCTGCTGGACGAACCCAGGTCTCTGAGGAGAGGGGTTTCCTCCCTCTGTGGGGAGCGGAGCAAGGACTTTGGGTTCTGGGGATCTGGGTTTCACCTGGGCCAGGGGACCATTAAGAGGCCTTTGGTTTCCAAAGTCTAGGCCAGAGCCCGGGCCTGTCACGGGGCCCACTGCCCGAGGCCTCATGATCATCAAAGCCCTAAATTAGACTTCAGACATTATTGTCTGGTGAGGTCAAACTGGTGTTGGCATTTGTTGATAGTTCTCATTTGTCACCTGTGAACCTTCTTAAAGCACCACAGTTTTTGTGACCCTGTTTTGGCATGTCTTCTCTTTTTCTTGTGTTTTGGCTGAGGAAGATTCGCACTGAGCTAACATCTGTGCCAGTCTTCCTCTATTTTGGACGTGGGCTGCCGCCACAGCACGGCCACTGACAGGTGGTGTAGGTCTGTGCCCGGGAACCAAAGCTGGGCCGCCGAAGCAGGGCATTGAACTTAACCACTAGGCCACAGGGCTGGCCCCTCTTCTCTTTTTTAATATGCTAAAAGCCTAAAAAAAAAACCCCAAACGTTGCCCAGGCCTCTCTCAACCTCCAAGGGCCCTGCACAGGGGCCGTCCTGGTGAAGGTGTGGACTCCTGGGGCCCCATCCACAAGAGCAGTCCTTCCAGGAGAGACTGGGAGGGCAGGGATGCTGGGACCCAGGACGCCTGGAGCCTGTGCCCATCGCTGTCTGAGCTCTGGGGTGGTGGGACCTGCCTGGAGAGGGTGAGGTGACCACTCGGCCTGGGGCCTGGAACCCTGACACAGAGCTCTCTCCCTAGGCTTGTCGTGGAGGGAGGACCTTGACGGCCTCGAGCTGGAGTGCAGGAAGACCTGGGAGCAGAAGCGGTTATACTGTCTGTCATTTACTGTGAAATAATTCAGTAAGGACAGCGCAACCAACAGGGTGCATGGATTGGTTTTAACGTACATCCAGGGGGCAGTTACCCTAGAAGGAATCAGTAACTTGCACCCCAGGAGGGCCCAGGGCACTGAAAGCCCCATCCAGACTCCACGCTCCAGAGGCGGCCACTAAGAGCGCTCCAGTAACGCTCTCCTGGATCACACCAGGGCTCTTCCACATGAGCGTCGAGGACACTCGGGAGATGCGGACTAACTGGAATATCATGCAGGCATCTCCGCTCTTGAACAAAAGGGCTATGGGAATCTGGGGAGCCCAGAGGCCATTATCCTTTAGAATGACATTCAAAGGCCCAGGACTCCCTTAGATCCCGGGTTTTGCACTTCACAAAAAAATCCTGTCTGCCTGTCGGAAGGTCGCCAGTCCCACCGAGGGAAAGCTGCGGCATCTGCTGCCAGCAGAGTGTCCTTGCAAGGAGCTCCGGCTGGGGCTTCTTGGGGATTGTAAGTTCGATGAGTCTTTCTTGCCTGCTTGCTAATAAGTGTTTATATGCACAGCCGAATCTCTTCTCAGACCTGTTTTCCTTGCAGCGGACCACCTAGCAGCAAGGCTGTCGGGGAGGGGACCTATGGCTCCCAGCTCCCAGTACCGTCAGATTTTCAATTATCTATCTGACAGTTAGAAAGAACTTCACTGGTCTAGGTTAGTTTGCAACGAGCAGCTTCACAGGCTAGAGACAAAAGGTCTGTCCTCACAGCTGCTGGGCTGGCTCAGTTGCTCCAGTATTCCAGAATGGTCCAACAGGAGCTGGAACCTCTGAGACTGGAGATCCAGCCAGCGCCTGAAGGGGAGGGGCTGAGCCAGGTTTTGATTTAAAAAAATAATGAAACCCAAGTGCTTCCTCCCCCCTCAGAGTGGCAGAGCAAATGCAAACCTGCGCACGACCCTCCCATATGAAGGCCGGGCTTCAGATGACGGCTACATTGTCAAGGGAGTGGAAAATTAGCAATGAGAAAATATGGAATGATTTTCTTAGAGAATAAAACAGTAAAGATCCCATTCATCATAATCAAAGATATATTAGAGGCTGGCCCTGTGGCCGAGCGGTTACATTCACACACTCTGCTTCGGGAGCCTGGGGTTTTGCCAGTTTGGACCCTGGGTGCGGACAATGGCACCGTTCATCCAGCCATGCTGAGGTGGTGTCCCACATGCCACAACTAGAAGGACCTATAACTAGAATATACAACTGTGTACTGGGGTGCTTTGGGGGCAAAAGAAGAGGAGGAAGATTGGTAACAGATGTTAGCTCAGGTGCCGATCTTTAAAAAAAAAAAAAGACATATTATTTGGCTACAGTTCCCATATTCACTTTTAAAAGATTCTTGATCTGGAATTACTCATTTGGATCAATAGAGAAATAAGAAACAACAGACTCAAACAAAATTTAGATATTTAGGTAAAGGGAGTGCGGAAAGAGGAAGAAAATGAAACGTTCAGCTTTTCCTTGAGAACTGAAGTGAAATGAGACTAAGTGCTGGGCGCCCCCCCTGCCCGGCTTGGCAGGCGGCAGACATGCGAGAGGGCAGTCCACAGACTGGGTTGGGGCGGGGGGCCGCGGGGGGAAACATCCTTCTCCTCACAGGGACGTTTAAACCAAACGTTGCCTAAGACAACCCCAGGGAGCGTGTTTGCCAATGAGCTTTTAAAATAAACTCAAAACAACAACAAAACTTAACAGACTAAAGCGAAAAATGAACAGCTTGCTCTCTACGTTTAAGAAAAGAAAGTCAACATGCAAGAGGCTGACTTTCAAGATCTATTGGGAAGACTGGAGATTCTATTAATTGTGCAGTTCTCAGGTTTTGCTTGCACATACGGCATGCTGTCATAACCCGTGTTCTTTGTGTTGCTGAAGACTGTGTTGTCTGAGCCCTAGAAGGACACCGAGGGCATTTAGCACAGTCCCCTTGCTGTATGAAGACGCAGAGGTTGGTCCTGCTCACAGCACACGGGTTAAGGGCAGAGCTGGGCCAGGATCCTGGTCTCCAGCCTTGGTCTAGGGCTCTTCCCACTACGTCCTGCTATCTCATAGCTCAGCACACCTCAGTGCCCAAACTGCATTCCTATCTTTATTTTCATACTTTCTCAGCAGGTCAGTTTTATTTATTTATTTATTTATTTGGTTAGGAAGATTGGCCCTGAGCTAACATCTGTTGCCAATCTTCCTCTTTTTGCTTGAGGAAAATTGTCACTAGCTAATATCTGTGCCAATCTTCCTTATTTTGTATGTGGGACACCACAACAGCATGGCTTGAACAGCAGTGTGTAGGTCTGTGCCCGGGATCCGAACCCGTGAACCCCGGGCCGCCAAAGCAGAGTATGCAAACTTAACCACTATACCACTGGGCTGGCCCTGAGTTTTATTTCTTAAATTGTTAAAAGTGATATCCTTTCAGGGCTAAAATGGCATTCCTGCCTTTCCATTTATAATTAAAACTGGGGAAAAAAATCATTCAAAGAAAAACAGGCTTGAGAAGATGAAGGAAGTGGTTAGAAAGTGTATTTTAAATTAATATTAAAAGTTCATTTGAAAGCGTAAGAAAACATGAATAACCCAGCATGGCCCTTGAGCGAGGCAAGATAAAATTGCCTAAAATCCTACCCTGCCTTCCCGTTTGGGGTCAGTAGATAGCCCCAGGCCCTCCAAGCTCTCTGTTCGCCTGAGAGCTGATCTCGTCCTGGCCCTGTGGGTCCTTGTGACTTTGACGTGACCTCCACAGGGCACCATATTGACTGTAACATGAAATTCAGCCCCTGCTTCGGTTTTTCAGAACTGCTCCCCACAGTAAACACACAGCAAAACCACCAACCACACATGAGGTAGTCATGGGTTAACAGCTTTTCCTCAAGATCTGCAGGGGTTTCCCAAGGATTCTCACAGCTCTCTCCACCCCCTCCCATACCTCCTCACACCCCCTTCTGCACCCCCTCAGGAGATACTAGTCTTCTCCTTCTACAGGGCAGAGCGAAACCCACCCTCTAGTGAAGGCTTGGCTTGAGGTGGGGAGGGGCTAACCTTCAACCCCAAGCACTTATCACAGTATTTGCCTAACACAACATTTCAGCCTCCAGGTTGGAATCTTTTAATGCCTCCCTTAGCGGCATAGCTCCTCAGAGGTGAGTACCTAATACAAGAGATCTGCGGACAAAATTCAAGCAGCCCCATAAGTTCTTTAAAGTGTTTTATCTTAAAATGCATATTGGTTATACATTTTACTCTAAAATTTTGCTCTATAATGCATTTCTCCAAAATGTGAGAGTAAAATTGATGCTCCAGAAAGATGCACCATGTTTATACTGTGGCCCCAACTCTCCCCACCCTCGTTCACACACTGAGAAGCTGTGGGATTCATGGCCCCAATTTTGAGAATCAAGATCCTGGGGGCTGGGGGTCTCTAAAGGCTGCAAGAGGGAATTAAAAACTAATACTATTATTTCTGAGCCCGGAGGAACAGTTAATTTATGCGAGATAAGGCTGTGTGGGCTGACAACTTTGCTCTGGGCTGGCAGCAGTAACACTGGTTATTCCATGGAAACATGGATTAATTATTCACCTAATAGTATAGTTTCCCAAACAAAATCTTTCTGCAGAGGCAAAAAGAATTTAAGAGGTCTTGGTTTTGAGAAAACTGGGAACTATTATTTCCAGTTTCAAAGTAAATCGAAACATTGATTGCAATACGAATTCAAGTAAAAGGCTTTAAATCCTTTAACCAGGTCTGCATCAATCTCCAACGTTAATGAACAAGTTATTGTGGTTTTAAACCCACAGTCAATCATTCCATTCTTGGGCAATTTGCTTAGTTTCCTGTAGCAAAACCAAGATAAAAGCAGAGATTTTCCCCTTGTTTGGCAAGAATCTCAAGGTAATTACCTTAGGCTTCCGCTAACTTTGCTGATGGAAACAGGAGGCTGGCTCGCCCAAGATCTCTCAGGACGTTATTAAGATGAAATCATTTTGTACTTTTATCTATCCGTCTGTTTTAATGTCTGAGAGGAGCAGCATCATTATTTAGACTTTACCCTGCATTTACCTGGAATTAGTGAGTCTGCCAATTTATTCTCTTCCTATAAAGTGAGTTCAGTATCAGTCACAAATATTTATAGAGTGCCCTCTGTGCGTCAGGCATTGTGCTACACAGAAAACAGGGATGGCCACCCGTCTTCAGCAGAATGAAGCTTTATCTCCCTCCCAAACCCTACAACAGGTAAACCAGGCTGCACGCTGGTCTCCAAATACGCCACGTGCTTGCTCCCCCTGCACCTCTCTCCACGTCTTCCTCTACGCCTTGAATGCCTTCTCCCCAAATGCCTTCTCTTCCACAGGGCTTTTTTACATCATGACCAGTAAGCTCATGAAAAGACGCTCAATATCATTAGCCTTTAGGGAAATGCAAACAAAACAACAGTGAGTTGAATGGTGGGCTCAAAAAGATATGTCTGCATCCTAAGACCTGAAATGTGTGAATGTGATCTTATTTGGGAAAAGGGTCATTGCAGATGTTACTAGTTAAGGACCTTGAGATGAGATCATCCTGGATTACTCAGATGAGCCCTAAGTCCAATGACAGGTGTCCTTTTAAGAGACAGAAGAGGGAAAGATACAGGGGGTCAGAGGAGAAGGCCATGTGAAGATGGAGGCAGAGATTGGAGTTATGCAGCCATAAAGCCAAAGAACACCTGGAGCCACCAGAAGCTGGAAGAGGCAAGGAAAGCTTCTTCCCAAGCGCCTTCGCAGGTGGCATGGCCCTGCCGACACCTTGAGTTTGGTCTCTGGCCTCCAGAATAAATTTCTGTCTTTTTAAGGCCCTAAATTTGTGGTAATTTGCTATGGCAGCCACAGAAAACTAACATACCATACAACCCAACGATTCCACTCCTTGATATATATCCAAGAGAACTGAAAATATGTCCATACAACAACATGCACAGAAATGTTCAGAGTGGCATTATTCATGGGGCTGGCCCCATGGCCGAGTGGTTAAGTTTGCACGCTCCGCTGCAGGCGGCCCAGTGTTTCGTTGGTTTGAATCCTGGGCACAGACGTGACACTGCTCATCAAACCATGCTGAGGCGGCGTCCCACATGCCAGAAATAGGAGGACCCACAATGAAAAATATACAACTATGTACCGGGGGGCTTTGGGGAGAAAAAGGAAAAAAAAATAAAGTCTTAAAAAAAAAAGAGTGGCATTTTTCATGATAGCCCCAAAGTGGAAACCCAAATGTCCATCAACCGCTGAACAGATAAACAGAATGCAGTACACCCAGACAACGGAAGACTATTCAGCCGTAAAAAGGAATGAAGTACCGATAGATGCTGCAAATTGAATGAGCCTGGAAAACATCATGCCAAATGAAAGAAGCTAGTACAAAAGACCACGTATTACATGATTCCATTCATACGAAATGTCCAGAATAGGCAAATCTACACCAATGGAAAGTGGATTAGTGGTTGCTGAGGGTGGGGGTGGGGTGAGTGGGGGCATGAGGAGAGTGAGGGGGCTGGGGAGTGAATTGTTTATTCATTATGAACAATGAATATTATGAATGATAATTATTTAGATCTTTCCTACCGTAATCTAGACAGCATACCTCATACCCAGGAAAAATAAGCTCCCAGGTGAATTATCAACCTTGGTCTTTGACACCACGCTCTAGGAAATGCGTCCTTGTCAGTTGACAGGGAAGTTCCCAATCAGTTTTAGATCCTGACCCTTTCCTGAGAGGGAACACTTGGCACCTGACAGCTTCCTCTCTTGATCTACTCTCTTTCCGCCCACTTGAGTGTGTCAGGACTCACGGAAACGGCATTCTCTGCTGTTGGGGACACTTGATAAGACCCAACTCCACTTCCCGACGGCTCTATCATTTGTCAGTTTCCTCCAGTGGTTCTTCTCACCCTGAGCAGTCTAACACAATAGCCGGAATCCTACCTTAAAATGATCCACTTTGAGCCACGGCTTCTAAGAATGCACTACATCTAAAAGTCGAGACTTTGTGTGGGCACAGGGCCAGAGGGGGCCCTCACATAAAGCCAGAGTCTCAGGGCCCATGTGAAGAGAATCCAGTCCACACTCAGAGGCCAGTTTGGCTCTCAGATCTAGCGCCCTGTTGGGGTAACTCTGGTGCCCTGCTCAGTGTGACTTTAGGGGATCATGGTGAGGTCACTGGGGTTGTAGAGCTGATTTAAATGTTCAGGTCCCCTTTAGCATGGGAGTCAGGAATGCTGTAGCCACCCAGAGCCCACCACGGTCTGAACATCCAGGTCACTGAAGGGGACCCAGGAAGGACTGGACCTCTGTGTGGCTCAGGGGTGGACTGCAGTCACTATAGGATTCGGCTGCTTTGCGGTCCATTCCTTCATCTGTCCCTTCTGGAGCCTGTTCAGCGGCGCTGACTCCTGCCGCCCCAGATCTGGGCAGAATCTCTCTGGCCAGGATGACTGATATAACCATGGGCATCTGACCCAAGCAGGTGAAATGGAACCCTCGCTCGAGCCTCCTAGGAAACGGACACCCTCTCCCTGGTGATGTAGGCACGGAGAAGGGTACACTGGTCTGGAGGAAGGCAACCCAGGGGTCAGTCTGTCTCCGTCACTTAGGAGCTCTGTGTTCTTGAGCCAACTATTCAACCTTTTGGAATCTCGGTTTCCTCATCTATATAATGCGAGTAATAATACAACCTCCACAGAGCTAGTAGAAGCCCAAATGAATCATAGGAGACAAAAGCACGGTTCCCGGCCCCTAAGAGTCACTCAGCAACGGTATCCGTTTGGAAAGAGGAGGAGCCCTTGGCAGGGGAAGTAATTTGCCCAAGGACACTGGTGCAACTTCAAAATTTCTCATTCTAGAACTGCCTTTCTGGCTCAATTTATACCTGCCCTTCCGCTGAGTACGCTGCTCTTTAGATGAACAAATAACATAAACGCAGAGCAGTCATGTCATTTCATTACGATGATTAATTATCCCACTTAAAAAGTGCTTACCAGAGCCTGTTGGTGTTGTTTTCCTACTTGATAGCCTCCAAAGTGCAGGATGCCAGGTTTTGCCTGGATGACCTTATTATTCAGAAGCTTTGCATAAATCTCTAAAAAAACAATGTTGATAAGTATGAGATGAGACATAAAAAATATTAAATGAAAGGGATATTTAATTTAGGATATTTTAAGCATATGAAGTTTTCAGACAGAGGATACAGCTGTCAACAAGAGTAACGGTCAGTTCCAAACGCATGTTCTGCTTCTCCCTCTCGAGTTGTACCCATCAGTTGGAGATATTATCATCACAATACAAACTCACATCGACTGTTTATTACTTATTAAAATAATTGGCTCTTCACACATTTTGTACGAGTCTTCGTATAGAACACGAGCTCGAGAAGAGCGCAAGCCCTGCCTTTGCTCCAGCACCGCCATCACTTACTACCAAATGAGGACCCAGTTCAAAGACTCCAAACACCAGAGTTTAATTTTATTACCGTCAAGTGCCGCATAACGACGTTTCGGTCAACAACAGACCACATATATCAAGATTAGTACCACACAGCCTAACACACAGGTGTGTAGTAGGCTATACCATCCAGCCTTGTGTAAGTACGTTCTGTGATGTTCACACAAAGACAACATGGCCTAACAACGCATTTCTCAGAACGTATCCCCAGCGTTAAGCGATGCACAACTGTACTCTGTATGTAACTGTCATTATTTGATTTCCTCTGAATAGAATTACAGTGTGATATAGAGTAGTCTGACAGCTCTGAATAATTATTGCTCTGGACAGGAAAGTCTCCAACTGCTATTGTTGTAACATGAGTGTCTTTTTTTCCCCCAGTTTTGAGAACACGGTTAACACAGCTGAGCTCACAAGTGTCTGGGTCTACAAACCCCCCAGCTCTTCACTCAACAGGTGCTGAGCCGTGCAGAGCAGGCACTGAGAACCCGCTACACGCTCGTTTCTGCACCATCAGTGCTTTACACCAGGCATTTGTTTGTTGTCCCCAGTCCTATGCTACGGGGTAGGTATCACTTCCACTCTGCAGATGAGGACGCTGAGACTCAACAAGGTTAAGCAACACACCCACAGCTCACAGTTAAAAACCAAGCCCAGGTCTGTCTGACTCCCCCTCAAGCAGCCTCCCTCAGTATGAAAGCACTGCCCAATTTCTAACGAACGATAACCTTTCAGCCTTGGCTGTACCCAAATCCTGTGAGGCACGGACAGCCTTACACCATCCCTTAGCTGTGATCCCAGCATACATCTGAAGTGGGTGTGAAGTGTTTGGGGTTTCCACTCCTCACCAGCTGAGCTGTCACTGTCATCAGCTTTGGGCCCAACTGAAGGGCTGGAATGGGGTAAGGATGATGTTTCAGGGGGACTGACAATCTCTGTAGGTTATCTGGTAATTTTTTAAGTATTGAAATTAACAGTATTTGGTAATTTTTTTTTAATGCTGAAGGTTTTGTTTTTAGGGCCACAAAATAAATGTAAAACAGGCATTTTTCTGTTAATGCCCAGAAACAGTCAAGCATACTAACTTGCACTCAAGTTCTACAGAGACGAAAGAACGACACTGAAACACTACATTTCCAGCATTTGCGGTGGGCCTTGAAGACCGGCTGGACATCGCGCGGCATCAGCTGAACACCAACTCGCCACCTAGCTGCACCACCTTGGGGAACTCATCTGACCTGAGTCTCAGCTTCCCCAACAGTAAAATGGAAAGAGAGCGTATCTCATGAGGTTATGTGGCTTAAGTGAGAATAATGAGGCAAAATGATTCGCTTTTACATAATAGCTACAGGATTTACCAGGCTTTTCACACTAGGGAACGTGCTTGAAAAAAGGCAAGAAGATCTGAAATGCATGTGGTCTCGAAGGAGCAGGAGTAACATGGCGTGGCTGGAGCTGAGGATAGAGGGGACGGCAGGGGATGGCACTGGGCGGGCAGGTTCAGATCAACAGCAAAGGGGACCAAATGCCCAGACAAGGAATTGCAACTTTATTCTGTGTGCAAGGGGAACCGCTGAGCGCATCTGAGCAGGACAGGGACAGGAGAGAGCCAGGACTCTGCAAAGGAAACTGACTGGGGTGTGAAAGGGGGTCCCGAGGAGAGTGTGGCCAGGGAGGAGGGCACTACAATAGTCTGGTGACCTGCTGAGGATGAGGAACAGGCACTGGGGACAGATGGAAAGATATCTGAGGATGTGGAAGCAACAGAACCTGGTGAATAATCTGCACCACAAAAATCTATCAGTGAAGTGGATGGACCTAAATAGAACCACTGCTCTTAATAAGAAAAACTATTATGAGCCTATGAAACAACACAGATAAATCAGCACCAAAAATTCCATTATGCTTTCTGGACTTTGGATCCTCTGGGAAGACGTGAGCTGTAAAGCAAATCTGTTTTCTAACCACTTACTCGATTCTAGGAGGTGATTAGGTACTTCTGTTCTTCTCTTGGGCTCCTCCACTAGACTCTTCAAAAGGACGGGCGAGACGTTATTAAACGGCTCCTCAGCATTCTTTAGTTCTCTGCTGGGCGTTTTCACTGCTGCCATTTTATCATGAAAAATGGGGTCCTCTTTTTAGAGCCAAGGGTCATTTCCTGGGAAGGAAACAGTAGCAGTCTAGTCATCCGTGGGAACCACACACGTTCTTTTTCTCAATCCTGGACAAATGCACCTCTTGTCACTGCCTGGTTTACTGTGGCTCAGGCCTGCCCTGCCTCTGGCCTCTCTGCCGGCCACTCCATTCCCAGACACGGCTGTCCCATTCAACTCCTTGTCACTGCCTGGTTTACCGTGGCTCAGGCCTGCCCTGCCTCTGGCCTCTCTGCTGGCCACTCCTTTCCCAGACACGGCTGTCCCATTCAACTCCTTGTCACTGCCTGGTTTACTGTGGCTCAGGCCTGCCCTGCCTCTGGCCTCTCTGCTGGCCACTCCATTCCCAGACACGGCTGTCCCATTCAACTCCTTGTCACTGCCTGGTTTACCGTGGCTCAGGCCTGCCCTGCCTCTGGCCTCTCTGCTGGCCACTCCTTTCCCAGACACGGCTGTCCCATTCAACTCCTTGTCACTGCCTGGTTTACCGTGGCTCAGGCCTGCCCTGCCTCTGGCCTCTCTGCCGGCCACTCCTTTCCCAGACACGGCTGTCCCATTCAACTCCTTGTCACTGCCTGGTTTACCGTGGCTCAGGCCTGCCCTGCCTCTGGCCTCTCTGCCGGCCACTCCTTTCCCAGACACGGCTGTCCCATTCAACTCCTTGTCACTGCCTGGTTTACCGTGGCTCAGGCCTGCCCTGCCTCTGGCCTCTCTGCCGGCCACTCCTTTCCCAGACACGGCTGTCCCATTCAACTCCTTGTCACTGCCTGGTTTACCGTGGCTCAGGCCTGCCCTGCCTCTGGCCTCTCTGCCGGCCACTCCTTTCCCAGACACGGCTGTCCCATTCAACTCCTTGTCACTGCCTGGTTTACTGTGGCTCAGGCCTGCCCTGCCTCTGGCCTCTCTGCTGGCCACTCCATTCCCAGACACGGCTGTCCCATTCAACTCCTTGTCACTGCCTGGTTTACTGTGGCTCAGGCCTGCCCTGCCTCTGGCCTCTCTGCTGGCCACTCCATTCCCAGACACGGCTGTCCCATTCAACTCCTTGTCACTGCCTGGTTTACTGTGGCTCAGGCCTGCCCTGCCTCTGGCCTCTCTGCTGGCCACTCCTTTCCCAGACACGGCTGTCCCATTCAACTCCTTGCGTCACACATCACGACCCAATATTGCGCCATTGCTCAAAACCCTTCCATGGTCCTTAATTCTTCACAAGAGCTTTTCCCAAAATGCGGTCCTGGTGCTTCTTAGCTGTTAATAGGGGCACGTGGAGGGGAAAAGAAAGGCACTCGCAGTCGAGTACGTTTGGAAAGTGTTGAAGTAAACAGTGAAACAGGCCTCTTCTTTCTGAGATTTCTCCAAATCAGTTTCTTAGATGCCTGTGAGCATGACACCCCTTAACATGTGGAAACACTTTACAGGACATGGCATTTATGTGTCACCTTCCTGGGCCCCTCTCCTAACAGGGTGAGAGGTGGAAAGCCACAGAGCTCCTCCACCCCCTGGAGGCTCTCCTAGGACCTAGGGTCCTGGGTCATGTGGGACCCTTGTCAGACTTGCCTCCACCTAACACACTCATTTTAAGTTCCACCCTCTTCATAAAGTTCACACTGATTGCAACGTCCTTTAAGGTTCTTCAGCCGTTACTGCCTCTACTGCTCATCTGATGTTAATAATTTAGTGCCCTGTAAGGGCGCTTTACAGATCCCACACTCTTTATATCTTCCACAGCTGAGTCTCTTAACTTGGGGCCCTGGTACAGGCTGGGGGCTGCTCTGTGAAGCCCCAGATTGAATGTAAAATCATGCATGGGTCTTTATGTGCTTGCTTTCTGTTCGTCTGAGAATGCTCATAGCTTTAGATTCCCAGAACAGTCTACAGCAACAAGCAAAATAGAGTGACTGGACTGAAGGAAGTGCTTAATAAGCACTTTCTGAAAGAAGTTTCTGTGTCGTCCCCACCCCTCGCCATTGCTCTCACTGGCATGGCTGAGGATTCCCCCTTCCCAGCTCAGCCTCCACCCGCCTGCTCCATTCCCCTCCAGCCCCTCAACACCTGCGCCAAGCTCACTCTCCGGCCCCTTCTCTGGGTCCCTCAAACTCCCTGCCCTCTTCAGGCAGGTACAACAGCTGAACGTTCTCACACACGCTCCTATTCCAGTTCGCTCACCCCCAGGGTGAATTCGTCTCCCTTTTCACACCCCCACATCCTCGGTCCCCTTGCGGAATCCACCACGGGGCAGGCCCTCTCACCCTTGCCAAACGCCTGCTCCCCTTGGCGGCCGTTACACCATCCCCTGGTAGGGGCCAGGGTCGACCCCAGACCCACGCACCGCCCGCATCCCCAATTAACCCTTTAGGCCAGACCTCTCCTCCGACCCCGGGCCAGGCTGACTTGCAGCTGGACACCCGCCTGGAGGTCAGGCGGCCTCAGCAGCTCGACGGCGGCCAAGGGGGCCACCCTGGGCCCCAGGTCCCAGGCGGCTCACACTGGAGCTGGTTTCCGGGCTGGATTCGCCGGAGCCAGCGCCCGCTCTGCCCGTCGCCATGACGACGCGGACGCGCTCCCAGGGTCTGCGCCAGGACGACACCAAATTCCCCGGGGACGAGGGGAAGTCGGGCCCGCGGCTCGAGGTCCGGAGGACAGGAGTGACTTCTGGGGACTCGGAGCAGTCTGCGGGGCCTGCGGGAGAAGACAGAGCGCGACTTAGGAGGTGGGAGGCGAAGGGATTCCCGAGGGGAGATGAGAAAGTCGGGAGACACCGGGAACTGGAAACTTCCTGAGCGCACCCAGAGGGGCGGGGCCAGCCAAGCGCAGGGGGTGGAGCTTCCCCGGACGCCCGACTTCAGCGTAAGTAGTTTTTTTTACATTGCCTGTTGTGGTAAGTTTCAAACATGTACAAAGCTGGACAGAATAGTATAATGAACCTTCAACACCCACTTGCAACAATTACCAAATCATGGCCCATTTCTTTCATCTATACCTTTCTCCTACTTCCTGTGTTATTTTAAAGAAAATCCCAGACATCATTTCATCCGTATTTCAGAATACACCTCCAAAAGATAAGGCTTCTTTTAAAAAACATCACCACAATACCAGTACCTAAAAAAATCACAATAATTTCTTAACATCTTCGAATACCCAGTACTCAATTATTTCATAAATGTCATAAAATATTTTTCTTAGAGTTGGCCAGTTTGACTCAAACCACATATTGTGATAGATTGATATGTCTTTTAGGTCACTTTTAATCAATAGATTCTTCCTTCATATCTTTTTGTTGTTTTTGCAATTTATTCATTGAAGAAACCGTTTCTGTCCTCGATGCTTATATTTAGGATTATAAACTGTGAAACTGGGCCTGCTCCCCTGACCCCCTGCCCTGGCTACACGCTGCTCCTCCATGGACATTATCCTTACACAGAGGGCTCAGGCCTCTCTCTCCCCAGGAGCCGTCCTTGTCTCCCTCCCTCCTTGTATGACTTGACACTTACTGGATGTTATTTATGGTTTCCTAGTGATAAGAGATTGCAGTAGGAATCCAGTGAGGGTGCTTGCCTTTCTCATACCCACATCACTTGTGCTGAATGTGGGGTTTTTTTCCCCCTCCACTGGGAATGTTGATTTTTTCCATCTTTCCATTCTCCAATCCTTCCCGCCTCCCGTACCATCACCACTGATTAAAGATCTCCCCATCTTTCAAGGCTAACACTAGAAATGGTACATCCCCTGTCCTCCTCATGATCCTTCAAGCCGGGAGGACTGTGTCCTTTTCTGGGTTTCCATACACTTTGTTCCACCATCTCTCTGGGCACTTATTTTTTATGTGCTTCACTCATCATTATTTGTATATGTGTCTTAAACTGCGGAGTTCTTAGGGGGATGGGACTGTGCCTTATCTTCGGATCTCCCACAGCCCTTGACACAGTTCTCTGCTCATGGTGATTGCCCAGGAACTCTGGCCACACGAGTAAAAAGTTTCCTTTGTTTATATAGTCGGTTGCTTTAGCTCCTTCTGTCTTCTGCCCCACAAGGTGGTAGCGTTCAGAACAGGTGCCCTATTCCCCATAGTCCCAGACCTTTCCACCCCAGCTCAAATCATCAAATGCTTGTTTCCATACACTTTTTAATGGATATTGGGTAACACTTTTTAATTTGTACTTAAATTTTTTCTTAGAAAAAATGACAAATTCCCTATTTTATACATAAAGATAGGTATAGACATGGATATAGATACAATACGTAGGTCTCTGTACAATCAAGTAACCAGACTGCATACTACAGTGTAGCGGACGCTGCTGGTTGCCTGCTTTCACTTTCTTACAAACAGAACCCCAGCTTTGCTCTGTTTTCTCCTCAAACCCCAGTCCCCCAGATTCCCAGTTCCAGCAGGAGATCCTGATGAGTCTTGGCCAGTCATGGAATTCCCGATCCTCTTGCTCACGATTGGTTACGGTTGAATACATAACCCTATTCTGGCCACAGAGACATTAGGGGAAGTCTTCTGAGGCCCCCTGGAAAAGGCTTCCTCTCTCCTAAGAAAGAGATGTCCGGAGATAGAGTGTGTTTCTCTTTCTGGACATTGTAGTGTCCAGAGTGGTTCCTTGGAACTGCAGTGGCCAGCAGAGGCCACGACGGGCCCTAGCATGAGGGTGAAGCTGGTGACGAAGACAGCAGAGACAGGAAGCAGAAGCTGGCCCTGGATGATATCATTCCACCTCCGACTGTTTGGTACCGAATCCCGTTATCTCTTTCTTTCAGCTGAAAACATTCTGACATACAATGATCTCTAAACACTCACTATTCAAGGGTGAACTGTCGCACAGGAACTTGTTAGAAAGGCATAATTTCAGGTCACCTCAGACCTGCTGAATCAGAATCTGCGTTTTTTACTTCTAATGAAATCCCCCTGGAGATTCATAGACACATTAAAGTTTGGAAATCACTGAACTGATGCCCTACAATTACAGCGGTTTTAGATAATCACTTATTAATCAGTTCATTTATGTATTTCACATTTATTTCACTTAGCACTTACAATGAGCGGAATACGAAGGTGTCCCAGCCTCCGCCGGACTAACGCGGTGAGATGAGCGTGACAGCGGCGGGGAAGCAGCACAGGGGAGCGGCTAATTTCCTTGCTCCAGACTCCTTGGTGGCTCCACGTTGTGCAGAAACTAAAATTCAGAACCCTTAACACACCTCTCAAGGCTCTGCAGGACCTGACTGCCGGCCCCTCTCCACTCTCTCCTCACCCCGCTCCCCTGTTGCTCCCCGCACCCCCTCTGCTTGGCGTGGGGTGAAAGCTGGCCGAAAACCCTCTGACGCTCCTCGTGAGGAGAGTGGGGCCTTGTGCCCGCCCCTGGAATCTGGGCGGGTCTGTGACTGCTTTAACTGCCCCATCCAGTCCTGCCCGAATTTCTGACCCCAGAATTCATGAGATATAATAACATGGTGGTCGTTTCAAGCCGGCCGGTTTGGGGATAGATATCGCTGTGGCACTAAGTAAGCAGAAGCTGGGCTAATGCCTCCTCGGCCTGAGGATCCCTTCCTCCGAGGGGCTTCCCCTGCTTCCCTTTCTAAATCAGGCCCCACCCCACTGTCCTCTCTCCCAGCACGGGGTTCTCTCCGCTCCGTGCGTGATTCTGGCTGGTGGGTTTACCTCTGTGATGCCCGTCTCGCTAGACTGTGAATTCAGTGAAGGCTGACTTGGTCGCCACTGTGTCCTCACCACCTGGCACCCTGCCTGGCACATGGGGGACCTCCAAAGTGTTTGTACAATTGTCATCCATGAGTTATGCCGAGTTCTAAATTTATACATATCTATACGAATGTTATAGATTATATATTTATATTCATAGTTTATATATAATACATATTATGAAAAATATATTCGTAGGGTTCAAAATTCAAGAAGTAAAAAATCTTCATCCTCCCTCTGTCCTTTAGCTACCAGCTTCCCTTTCCCAGAGGTAACTCACATTATCAGATTCTTATTTATCTTTCCAGGAATATGTTATACATATATAAGCAATTATATGTATGCTTGTATCTGTAAGAAGTTCATCCCCTGTTTAAAAGCCCAAATAGCTTACTCTTCTGACTCTTCTTTTTTCACTTAAAAATATATCTAGATGATCTTTCAGTATCTGTACGTGAAGTACCTCCTCATGTTTTTTTTTTTTTTTTTTGGTAAGCTAACATCTGTGCCAATCTTGCCAATCATCCTCTACTTTGTATGTGGGATGCCGCCACAGCGTGGCTTCACAAGTGTTATGTAGGTCCACACCTAGGATCTGAACCCACAAACCCCAGGCCACTGAAATGGAGCATGTGAAATTAACCACTGTGCCACCGGGCCAGCTCCTCCTCATTCTTTTTATGGCTGCAAATATTCCATAATTTATGTAACCAGTTTCCTGTTGTTGAATACGTAGATTGTTCCTGATCTTTTTCTACTATAAACTATGCTGTAATGATTTATACAAATGCACAGGTAATTTGTACAAACTCGTACATCCATCCATTCATTTACATGCGAGTATATTTGTAGGAAAATTTCCCAAATTAGAAGTGCTGGGTCACAGGGTCTGTGCGTTTGTACTACTGCTAACTATTGACAAGTTGTCTCCCATGGGCTTTGCATTAATCTTTACTCCTACCTGTAATGCATGAGAGTGCTTGTTTCCTTACATCCTCACTAACAGAATACATTATAAAACTTTTCTATTTTTGCTGATCTCATGTGTAGAAAATAGTATTTTGCTATGGTTTTACGTTGTATTTCTCTAATGATAAGTGAAGGTGAGCGTGTTTTCATATGTTTAGGAGACATTTGTGTTTCCTTTTCTGTAAATCCATGTCCTTTACCCATTTTTCCATTGGGTTCTTGATCTTTTTCTTATTGAGTTGTTGGGGCTCTTTATATTTTTAGGGACATTAGTCTTTTGTTCTATGATCGCTGTTGAAAAAATTTTCCCCCAGTTTGTCGTTTGACTTTGCAGTTGATGGTTTTTGCTTTGCAGAATTTTTTTTAATTTTATGTTGTATCCATTAAGTATTGCTTCATACCAAATTACCCCAACACTCAGGCTTAAAACAACTATAATCCTTTACAACCTCTCACGGTTTCTGTGGGACAGGAATTCAGACTGGGCACAGCAGAGATGGCTTGATTCTGCTCCATAATGTCTGGGCCTTCAGTTGCAAGACCAGAAAACTGGGAGGTGGAATCGTCTGAAGGCATCATCCGGTAGTTGATGCTAAGCTGTCAGCTGGGAGCCTAGAGGAGACTCTTGGCCAAAATACCTACCCATGACCTGAACCTCCCAACAGTGTGGTCACTGGGTTCCAAGGGCAAGTGTCTCAGGAGACAGCCAGGCTTAAAGCTGTGTTTCCTTTTATGACCCAGCCTTGAAACTTGTGCAGCATCACTTCCACTTCATTCTATCAGTTGAGGCCGTTATAAAGGTCCGCCCAGTATAAGAAAAGGGAACATCGACTCCACCTTTTGATGCAG